ATGGTTTTTCATATTGAGTCGCTAATAACTCAATAACCACTTGCAACTTTGAGCTGCTTTTTTCAGTGGTAGTGAGCATAGTTTAGATAAATAACATATACAAATTTCGCTAAGATTCATTCACTAACAAAAAAGTTATAGCTTTTTTACATGTCGGATATGAACGGTACAATGGCAGCGCAAATCGCTCATATGTATGTGATTATATACCGTCGAATAGTTTAATGAGGATGGGGAGAAGTAGTTTTCTATTTGAAACGGAAAGTCGCAGCGACGTGGATTTTCTCATGAACTCCCTTCGATCGTGTGCAAGACAATATAAAATGAACAAAAAATTACACTTGGGTAATTGACAAGTGAATTGGAATATGAATATATATTTTTGTGCGAATAATACAATAAGGAAAGAGACAGACTACTACCACTTCGTAAAAGACAAGATGAGTACGGTTCTGTATTTTTGACAAAAGTATTTAGTATACAAAACTACATCCAAAAGAGTACAAAAAGCTTCAATACCATATACAGGCACTTTGACCTTTCTCCAGTTATGATTTATCGAATAAAACAAATTTCGTGAACAACCTACTTAGGGGTATCCAAAAGTAATGTCGTCCCTATCTTATTTCCTTATTAATTGGTTACGACGAAATTCTTTTTTTACAGAAAGATAGAGAAAATGAAACTGCATTTTTCTATACTATTTCATCATATCCAACTAAGTGTCATAGGAACGAAATTTTGAGCAGAAGTGTATTCGTGCAAAACTTAACTTTGGCATTATGTGGTGTTTTCGTCCGTTTCGATGCAAATTTCGCTCATTCTTTGTTTCTCCTCTCTTTCAGCTTTCGTAAAGTTTTATCACATATTCTTATTGCTCGGCAGACCTTTATTTCATCAAATGTTCAAAATAATGACCTTGATTATCCACACATAACTGCAATCTTTCGAGCCGCTTAGCGAACGTTTTTCTATACTCTTCCACGCTCAACGAGTACATAAACTCTGTCACAGCATGTTGCAATGATTGTGCATCGCTATGATCGCCTAAATTTCGCTTGATCAGATCGAATAGCCAGAAATCGCATGGTGCTAAGTCGGGAGAATATGGTGGATGTGGTATTGTGTCAATACCTTCCAATTGAAAGTACTCAATGGTACGTTCATGAACATGCGGCTTTCCGTTGTCTTGATGCAGAATGATATGGTTTGCGCCATATGACGGTCATTGGTGCCTGATTTCGTCTATAAGAGGTTGCAAGCAGTTATCGATGTAATATCGATGATCGATAGTTTGCCCCCGTAGCACACCATAAATCAGAAGCGGACCAGTGGATTTGAAAAAGATGGAGAATAGCGTTTTCGGAGCAAATCTATCGCGACGAATGATTGTGGGTGGAGGATCACCTCTTGCCACCCAAGCAGCATTTGATGACTTGCGGCCAGTTTGTCGATGATAGAACCACGACTCGTCGCCCGTTACCACATTGCATAATCGCCATGTTCCATCCGTGAATCGTGCCAAGTTCTCTTTGCATATTCGTACTCGTTCACTTCGTTGGAAGTCAGTCAGTTGCTTCGGTAAGTAACGAGCCGTAACTTTGGTCATTTGCAAATGATCGACAAGGATCCGTTGCGTAGTACCGTAACTTAGACCAGTTTGTTCTTGTATTTCCTCTATCGAAACTCTAGGATCATCATCAATGACCAGACGAACTTGTTCGATGTTTTCAGTGGTTGTTTCGGTAACAGGTCTGCCGGGTCGTGCTTCGTCTTCGAGGTCATCTCGGCCTTCACGGAATCGTTTACACCATCTTTCCACCGTTCTAAGGCAAGGAACTTGATCACCATGAACAGTATATAACTCTTCATAAATCACTCGTGGTTGAATATTAAGCGCGGTGCGCATTTTGATGTAAAATCGAATGTTTTCCTTACTCATTCGAAACAGATCAGGTATTCATGTTGAAGTCGACTATTGTGTTTTGCCTTCCTTAGAAGTATACGAATAAGTGTATTAAATATGCAAGACTGATAAGACGCGATGGACGTCTAAGCGGCAGACTGGACGAAAAAAAAGGAGAAACAAAGAATGAGCGAAATTTGCATCGAAACGGACGAAAACACCACATAATGCCAAAGTTAAGTTTTGCACGAATACACTTCTGCTCAAAATTTCGTTCCTATGACACTTAGTTGGATATG